ATGTGCAATCTTGACACTACTGATATTTTCATGTACAGCCCTGAGACTCCTGCAATTACATATTTAAGTCTTGGTACTCCTGCAATAACATGTAAAGTCTTGCGACTCATGCAATTACATGTAAAGTTTTGTGACTCCTGCAATTACATGTACCTGTCTTGATACTCCTGCAATTACATGTACCTGTCCTGAGACCCCTGCAATAACATGTACCTGTCCTGAGACCCCTGCAATTACATGTACCTGTCCTGTGACCCCTGCAATTACATGTAACTGTCTTGAGACTCCTGCAATTACATGTACCTGTCCTGAGACCCCTGCAATTACATGTAAATGTCCTTAGACTCCTGCAATAACATGTAAAATCTTAATACTCCTGCAATTACATGTACCTGTCTTGGGACTCCTGCAATTACATATCCCTGTCCTGAGACCCCTGCAATTTCATGTACCTGCCCTGAGACTCCTGGCAATTAACATGTAAAGTCTTGATACTCCTGCAATTACATGTACCTGTCCTGACGACCCCTGCAGGTACATGTACCAAGTCTTGATTACTCCTGCAATTACATATCCCTGTCCTGAAGACCCCCTGCAATTTCATGTACATGCCCTCGAGACTCCTGCAATTACATGTACCTGTCTTGAGACTCCTGCAATTACATGTAAAGTTTTGTGACTCCTGCAATTACATGTACCTGTCTTGATACTCCTGCAATTACATGTACCTGTCCTGAGACCCCTGCAATTACATGTACCTGTCCTGAGACTCCTGCAATTACATGTACCTGTCCTGAGACTCCTGCAATTACATGTACCTGTCCTGAGACTCCTGCAATTACATGTACCTGTCTTGAGACTCCTGCAATTACATGTACCTGTCCTGAGACCCCTGCAATTACATGTACCTGTCCTGAGACTCCTGCAATTACATGTACCTGTCCTGAGACTCCTGCAATTACATGTACCAGTACTCAGACTCCTGTAGGTACATGTACAAATCTTTAGTCTCTGAGACTCATGCAATTACATGTACCTGTCTTGAGAACCTGTTTCCTGAATTCCTGCAATTACATGTACCTGTCTTGAGACTCCTGCAATTACATGTACCATTCCTGAGACTCCTGCAATTACACGTACCTGTCTTGAGACTCCTGCAATTACATGTACCAGTCCTGAGACTCCTGCAATTACATGTTTAGTCTTGAGACTCATGCAATTACATGTACCATTCCTGAGACTCCTGCAATTACATGTACCTGTCTTGAGACTCCTGCAATTACATGTACCTGTCCTGAGACTCCTGCAATTACATGTACCTGTCCTGAGACTCCTGCAATTACATGTACCTGTCCTGAGACCCTGCAATTACATACCCCTGTCTGAGACTCCTGCATTACATGTACCTTTCCTGAGACCCCTGCAATTACATATACCTGTCTTGAGACTCCTTCAATAACATGTAAAGTCTTGAGACTCCTGCAATTACATGTAAAGTCTTGAGACTCCTGCAATTACATGTACCTGTCTTGAGACTCCTGCAATTACATGTACCTGTCTTGAGACTCCTGCAATAACATGTAAAGTCTTGTGACTCCTGCAATTACATGTAAAGTCTTGAGACTCCTGCAATTACATGTACCTGTCTTGAGACTCCTTCAATAACATGTAAAGTCTTGAGACTCCTGCAATTACATGTAAAGTCTTGAGACTCCTGCAATTACATGTGCCTGTCTTGAGATTCCTGCAATTACATGTACATTTCTTGTGACTCCTTCAATAACAATGTAAAGTTTGTGACTCCTCAATTACATGTAAAGTCTTGAGACTCCTGCTATTACATGTAAATCTTGAGACTCCTGCAATTACATGTAAAATTTTTGAGACTCCTGCAATTACATTTAAAGTCTTGAGACTCCTGCAATTACATGTAAAGTTTGAGACTCCTGCATTGATTATGAACTCACACACCGTTGTATCCTATAAGTAAGGCTATTTTTGGCCCTTTTTATAAGCTTTTATAAGACTGTATTACTTATAGAACAAAAATGAATCCTTTTCTTTTTTAGTCTAAATTCCCTGAAAAGTCAATCCATTTTGGAATATATCTTTTAAAAAAAATTGTTTTATCTTTGCCCGGGAATCCCTAGTCAGGTTTATGTTTAAGTAAAGGGGAAAAAAATTTTTCTGTTTTTTTAGAAAAAACCAGTCAAACAACCCAGATGCCCCTCAAATTTAGCCAAACATTTTGCCCCCTTTTCCCCTTTTGGGGGTTGGGGTTTTTTGATTTACGTAAACCCCCGTTTCCTTTTTTTGGGTAAGAAATTTTTCAGAAAACCCGGGGACTTTCCCAAAAAAAAGCGGGATAGCTTCCTCACTTTTAAAATATAAAGCCCCCTGCCCAAATTTCCCAGTTACAGGGGTGGGGAAAGGGGTTTTGATGTCACCCGCCCTTAAAACCACAGGAAAAGGGCGTCCCGCTCCCCTTGATTTTGGGACAAAATTGAATATTTTTTAAAGGGGGGCCTAATTTTACATTTATTTTTTAAATTTCCAATGACTATAAAACAATGGACATTGAAACTTACGAAAGTTCTGAGTATAAACACGAGATATATTTCTTATGTATAAAATATTTGCTCGAAAATCCCGCTACATAACTGTGATTTAGATTGGTCCCCGGTCGTTTTTCGCACCGAGAAAAGCCAACCTAAATCACGCATTGACCGAGCTGTGCAGAGAGAGTAAAGGGAATAACGTTGCTAAAATGTCAATCGCTATCCCTCATCCTACCTTGATAGTTTCGCCGAAGAAACAATCGGGCTTGTGCACGATTCTGAAGTACGACCTTTGTAAATGCCAATCATGTTTTGTATTTTTGATTCACCTTGCGATTATTTTTTGTTCGAAACAGGTCGAAACTACTAGATTACGCCTGTCTAGGGGGGAGAGAACTCCAGTTTACTAGCAAAGGATTAATGCCAGTACAATGTAACACAAGTACATATTATGCCACGATATAATACTAACACGGTCAATCACTCTTATTTCTTTGAAAATATGCATGCTAAAATGCACGCACCTTGCTGCCAATATAAACACATAGTACTAAGGGAGGTAACTCTAGTTATTAGATGAATATGTCTAGTATGATTTATTTCAAAATAAAACGACTTTTTACAATTGAATAGTACTGTGTTATTGTTTGTCAGTGGTGAAAACACGAGAAAGGTGACTCTTTCGTCCTCTCTCCCCTTCTACTTCTAGCACACACATTGTATAGGCTATATCCCATTTTAATCCAACACGATCCCCATTGTGAAAGAACAGCGGGGAATTTGACATGCGGATGACATCTTCACCCGGAAGGGAACGGTGAGATAGAGCTTAGAAAAGTTAGCTCCGTTATCCAATTTCAAAGTTCCAGTTCGTTTCCAGCTGAGACCGTTTTTTTCAAGCAAATTTAACTAACTTCGAGCTAATTTTTAACTTGGAGCCAACTCTCAGAGCCAGATCGTTGTTCAAAGCTTGATGAAAAAATAAATTCAGATCAACGGTTTCAGATCCTATAGCTAAATTGTCGAAGCTGTCAGGTGGCAAAAGCAAGTGTTGTTATTATTATTATATTTTTATTATTATTATTATTATTGAGTGCGTGCGTACTAGTGCGTGTTCTAGTGCATGTTCATGTACATGCAAAATAAATCACACTGCCTTGATCTGGCCATGAATGAATAAATGAATATTTAACATAAAGGACCCCGTCCCCCCCCCCCCCCCAAACACACACACATAAATTGATACATGTATATCCCCAAAACCATCAGTAGTTGAACCAGGATGAAAACGAATATATAAACACCAATATTTTATGCTTGTCTTGTATAATTAAATAGACTGAAATACTTTCTAACCTTTAATACATTCATAATGAACATTCAATGGTTAAAGTATTGATCTAAATGTGAACGTGACTTTTATCTTATACAATTAAAGCATAAACGTAGTTTGCCGGCAAAAAAGTAAAATGTTCACTGCAAATTATTGATTGCATTTACAATAACAACAACTGTTGCAGTTTTAAATATATCTGTAATGTATGATATTTTCTTATCGTGATTTGAAAGCAATTATTTATATGGTAGGAAAATACGCATCGGTCATCTTGACCTCCCTTATGCCGTGTTCTAATCGCATCTTCTCGACCATTTCCGTCAAACATCGGATAAGAATCTCAAACACAATAGTAATAATAGCCGAGGTGTTCCAATTGGCCGTGTTCAAAATTACTTAATGTCATTACTGTACCAGGAGTAGTAAGTGCTACGGTAGTTTAAGCTTTGACCTGCCTTTTGGCAACTTACAACACCAAGCCAAATTTACCATTCCCTTTTACACAAGATTAACAATATCATTCAAAAAAATACCATAACTTGACCAAGCCATTCCGCACGTTATAAACACCATGTATCTTAACTTAACTTAACTTAACTTAACTCATCTTATCTTTTCTTACTTATCTTATCTTTTCTTATCATAACTTACTTTTTATTTTATTATCTTATCTTTTCTTATCTTATATTTTCTTACCTTACCTTGTCTTAATTATCTTATATTATCTTTTCTTATCATAACTTATCTGTTATTTTATTTTGAATTCGTTTCTTTTCTTATTTTATTTCTTCTTACCCTGCCTTTTCTTACTTACCTTATATAACTTATTTTTCATTTTCTTAACTTTTCTTTTCTTATCTTATCTTATCTTTCATTTTATTTTCCTATCTTATCTTATCTTATCTTATGCAACTTGTTACACTCTCGTTTATTTAGTTTATATTTACAAATTTCACATTCACTGGACTTGCAATTTCCCTACCATACGTTACATTATCTTGCCATGACATGTCTGTACTTAGATATACATATGAACCATTTTCAAGCCATTTGTAACATCTTTTGTTATTTTGTTATAATGAATCGTCTGCTATATCACAAAAATTATAATTTCAATAACAAGACATATATCAAAGGTGTCATTATATAGCGAGTTTTACCTTGGCAACATTTGGTGTTGTTTTTCACTGTGCAATTATATACAACGATTTAAATAATTGGTTTTAGATTCATCACTCCATTCTTTCACAGCGTTTGCACGGACATAACATTTAAGGTAAGAAAATTTATACTTAATTATTGTATCATTTTCTTTTTTAACAAACGTAAAATCAAATTCAATTTCAGTCATACAACACGTGCTATGTTTTAAATATTTGTATGATTAGTTGGTTTAAATTAATTAATGCATAACTGAACTTATTTGCTGATAGAATTTTAATCTATCTGGGGTGAAAACTTCTGACAAAAAAAGACTGAACTATTCTCTGTTTCGATAATAAACTGTGTAATGTTTCCAATAGATATGCTGTGTAATGTGATTTATAATTGTAACTGCAAACTGATGAGTAAGTGTACGTTGAAATTATAGCTACCATAGTAATTTTGCGTGCACAATAATCATTTTGCGTGGACAATAAATCATTATGCGTGCGGTACATTCATTTGTGTGCACTATAGCCATTTGCGTGCACTATAATCATTTTGTGTGCACTACAATTATTTTGTGTCCACTATAATCATTATGTGTTTAATGTGCACTTGGAATCCGATGCCTCCAGTTTTGGCTTAAATTACATTGTACAGTGTATATATCTTTTGACTGATAAATCTAAAAAGCATCATCATTATGATAAATTAACCAAATTTATAACAAAATAAGATCAGGCCAAATTGTAAGATTACATTTAATCATTTTATATATACAGAACGATAATTCTCTTCATAGAAGACGAAGAAAAATGAAGTACGTTTCATTCATTTTGATGTGTCTAGCCGTCGGAGCCAGCGCTAATCTGAAAAGTAAAAGTAAATGTGGAGAAACAAATGGCCACCCCTGTCCTTTCATTAGCGAATCTGACCTTGTCACACTTGCAGATTTCCAACAGGTAAGCTTTGTTATTCATATTAACATAATTGCTTTGATAACCACTTGTGCGTGCGTTTGCGTGCTTCTGTTTGTGCGTTCATGCTAATACGTAAGTTATAAACATAAGTCTATGTGTACAGACATGAAGATCTATAGCATAAATCTTAGAATTGTTGACATTTCATGGGCAGGTGTCAAAAGTCAGAAATTATAATACACAAAATACGTATTAAAATTATCAAGTACATTCGAAATTGGTGTTAATATTACAAAAATAAAACTTTCAAAGCAGACAACAGAATAGAATTTTGCCAGACTGCACGGATGTTATGGGCACAGAATGGTCTGACTACATGTTTGTTACGGACGAAGTTAAGTCAGACAGCACGTATGTTACAAATGAAGTCAAGTCAGACAGCACAGATGTTACGGATGGGTCTGGTAAGACAGCATGGATGTCACGGATGGAGTATTGTCATACTACACAGGTGTACAGATGAAGTCTGGTCTATTGTCTATAGTTAAACATCACGGATGTACGGACGATGTTTGATACGGATTTTACGTATGGATTGTCATACTGCAGGGATGTTACTGATGGAGTTCAGTCAGCACAGATGTTTCAGATTGAGTCTAGTCAGATGTACGGATGGATTCTTGTCATCCTGCACTGATCTTACGGATGGAATACAGTCAGCACGGATGTTTCAGATTGAGTCAAGTCAGACAGCACGGATGTACGGATGGATTCTTGTCATCCTGCACTAATCTTACGGATGGAATTCAGTCAGCACGGATGTTTCAGATTGAGTTTTATCATACTGCGCGGATGTTACGGATGAAGTCTGATCATACTACACGGATGTTACGGATTGGGTCAGGTCAGGTTTAGGTGATTTGATACTAAATGACCATAATCCTATTCTCAATCAGTAATTAACAGTATGATATGACTTTTATCTCATTGATAATTTTCACTATCGTACATTAGAAAATTAATTACTTTTGTATATCCACAGTACGTGGTTGGTGAACACTGGATAGGCATTTATTCCTCATCATTCAATACAGGTCAGACCTTTTGCAGGAAGGGAAATCAAAGGTGGAATGACTCTACAACCGGACTGGCTGAGCTGTATTGTTTGTAAGTTACGTAATACAGTGACTGTATGTAGTCCATATTATTTTGAGAACGTTCGTCCGTAACGCATTTATCCGGGCATTGATAATGCTAAAATTATATAATTATATATGTTAACTTTTAATTTTTTTCAGAATTTTTTTTCGCAAGTTGCTTTGTAGCGTCATAGGACATTTAGATAGAGTTCCAAGTTCGTCGCATTTCCTCCTTTTCAGTTTCCATTCATTCTATTTTTAAAAATAGACAGAAAAGAAAACGCTATTTGTTAGATAAATTTGCTTAAAATACATATGAGCCGCGTCACGACAAAATCAACATAATGTGTTTGCGACCAGCAAACATCCAGACCAGTCTGCGCATCCAGGATCCATGCTGCTCGCTTACAGACACTATAACAAGTAAAGAAACTGATAGCGAACAGCATGGATCCTGATCAGACTGCGCGGATGCGCAGGCTGGTCTGGATCCATGATGGTTGCAAACCCATTATGTTGGTTTTGTCGTGACGTGGCTCATATATACATGTACACAGCTCATTCGAGGCTCAGGAATGCTGGAATCTTTCGTTTGTCACAACAAAAAGTGAGGATGACTGTGGGAGAGTGATAGAAAAGGGAGGTAATTCAATTTATTATTCATAATGCACATTTACCGATATTCTTTCGAACAAAAGAACCACCAGTGCTGTTTATCTCTTAAATTATCTCTAATTTATTTTATTGGGGGCATCATTTATCAAATCTACGGCTTCGTTTTCAATATAAACTAGACTAGCTTAAAATTCAGGACTGTCTATTGAATTGATAGTTACCATAGATACATATCTAAATATAGAAAAACATTATACACAACAATCACGACAAAATCTAGTCAGATTCGACGAATATGTAGGGTAAACCGCCTAAAAACAGATGGAATAGGCCTACAAGTATCGTTTAATATTGTGACAAAATCAACACAATATTGAGTCATAGATACAATGGGAACATCTTGCCTAGTATTCACAATAACACAATTGTATCATAGTTTGGAGACCTTTCTGTTGAAAATGTGTCAGGGTTAAATCGTATACATATACATGCACAGTGCGTTAACTGGAGTGCGGGTATTAGTTACCCGCACTCCAGAGCATGCCCGTTGATTGGCTCATTTTTGCTGGGGTTTACATATTGTGACGGCAGAGAAATGGAAAGCGACAGAAATGTCATATTCAGATGTTCGTTCATTGGTTCATTTTTGCCGGGGTTTTATATTGTGACAACAGGGAACGTGTTTTTATGTTTGACTATGATACAAAAGAGAAAGAACACCAAACCACTCGGTAATCTGATTTATACTCGGGGGCTACGCCCCCTCGTACAAATCAGATAACCTCGTGTTTCGGTGCTCTTTCTATTACTTATCTATAGTTTATCTGGTTATCTGTCCTATTATGGTTATATACGTACGCAGGGGACCAGTCTTATCCGATGTTTGATGGAAAGAGTCGAGAAGATTCGATTACCACATTCGCATTTACGGACATATTTTTTTCATTGCAACACGTGTGCATTATCGATGTAAATATTTGAAGTAAGTTGAAGGTAAACAATGATTATTTTTCAGATGCCGATGATGATATCAAATTTTACAGCCAAGATTTGTCCGAATACTTTTGGCAAGACGTATGCTACTCGAGGCTTGCAAATGGAGAGTGCTCTTTCCGCTTTCTAGGACTGTTAGTTAAGGCTTGGAGAGGAGATGGTAGGTCGTGTGTATTTGAGTTTATTTATCCTAGTTATAAAGACCGGTCCCTTTACTCGGTTGTCCATACGGGCGACTCCTCCAGGAGAGTGTTAGTCATATTTAGCTTTTGGAGGATATTGCAAGATATACAAATATGTGCAGAAAGATACATCAATTCAAGAAGCTTCTCCTGGTTCTTGAGCGTGCCAAATGTTTAAGCACTCATGTATGGGATCTTGATTTGATTACATTTTTGTTGTTCTAGTTTGCCAGTCCGGTAATCGAACCAACAATGTCAAGATTACAAGTTTTATGCTCTAACCGATTGAGCAGCGCGGACAGCATTGCGATGGTAGGTAATTTGTTTTTCCTAATTATATATTGGGTCACGTGTCTTCCCGGCATTCTTTGCGCTCCCATAAAGTTTCCTGTCTCAATTTTCATTTACAAGGTCACATGCCTACATGGCATTTTTGGTGCTTGAATTTCATAAATAAGGTCAAGTGTCTTCCCGACATTCTTTGAGCTTCCTGAAAGTCTCTAATCTAATTTCTTATATTTTACGTCACATATCTTCATGACATTATTTGTGCTTCCATGCATACCTTTTCTTATATAACAGCGATTTAGTCTAAATTTCACACCCTTATTTACGTGCCTTCCCGACATTCGTTGCGCTTTTTTATACATTAAGGTATCTAATTTAATTTTTCATTCATCATGTCAAATGCCTTATCGACATTCTTTGCACTGGTTCTATATATATGTGAAACGTTCTTCCAAATACGATTGTTCTGTGATTGAAAAATGCATTTATATCTACATGAATATATGCATATACTTTGAATAATTCTATTGTCGTTTTCTCTAGGTGACCTTGACCTACAAGGATTACCTTGGGAACTTATAACAGCTGACCTGTGGAACAACTTTGGGTTGCGGTTCTCCGGACCGATCGTTAAGTTTTCCTGGAAAGATGGACCAGGTAAATGATTCTGATTTCAAATGTTTACAGATTAATAAAGTATAGAAACCTCTCATCTAAGGTACAACATATGAGCTTTTCTATAGATCATTCTAATTCAGTTTCAATTTATTGATTAATTTGCTGCTTTTTCAATGTCCAATGGTACGAAATTCTTAATTGTTATTTATATTATTATTGTTTATATCTTAACCAAACTTGCGAGGTGTAACATTGTCTTTACTTTTTTCTTTCAGATTGTGGTTTCACTGGTATTATTCCATTTTAGAACTCCAGATATGCCGTATACATGGCCAAATATATACCATCAACAGAGCGTGACGCCTATTTAATAAATGAATTGTACTAACATAGAAACAATAATCTTAAAAGCTATATAAGAAAATAAAAAGGATAGTCTAAATCTGTAGATTCATTATTTAATAAACTACGTCAGAAAAGTGTGTTACTTTTTATTTACATAATCCGCTAAATAGACATGTTTGACATAAAACAAGCTATTGTCAGACAAAATACTGGTAAGAACTCGAAAGTTTTTTTGTTCTTTTAAGTTTCCGTACTTATCGTATGGTAATAAATGCCCAGCCGTCCTGTCAAGCAAAATCCCATAGAACGTACGGACCCTAGATTTCAAGCGATCCACTTTATTGCCAAGGTTACAGTTCAAGCAATCTTGAATCCGCTCTATTACATTATGAAACACTTAAGGCATATTCATAAGAAAATGATCAAATGTTATATATACTGTCACACGTGATACTGAACTGAATGCGGGACATGAATTGTATTTGGTTTTATACGAAAGACCGGTGGGGACATTTCAACTTCATGAATTCCCGATTACAGCTTCATGAATTCATGATTAGCAACGACGGTTATCTTATTAAAAGTAGCTAAATTTTATTTTCCAACTTCTTTCTATGGTTATACGACGTTTGCAGTTTGACAAATGTCTTAGGTATCAAAATATGAAAATATAATGTTTTAAATGTGTTAAATGAACATATTTATTTGACGAAACACAAAACGTCACATTCAAAACGGTAATGAGGTTTTCTTTCTCATGAATGATCTAAACATAATCCTGAAAAATGTATTAAAGGGGCTACACTGAGGTCTGACAGGTAATTTGGTGATAAAAAAAAATGTAAACAAATTTCCTCACAAATCACAATATTATAACTAAAATAACAATAACTTACACTTTAACCAACCCTCTAACGACAATTATGCTAGAAAATGCATTTTCACATTAGCTTTTGATGCAAAAATGAAAGTTGGTTTTCCCAGACATGTACAGAAGTTACCCACAATTCATCGGGTATGACTAAAATACGCAACGGACATTTTTGGAACAACAGAGTGAACGGGGGGTAAAAAAGTCTATTGAGGTGTCTAAGATTCCTGGTGTGGAGGCAACATACTTTAGAGATGGGAACGTTCACTGTAAATTTAAAGGAAAGAACTTTAAACTGACTTCCCCAGATGCTATTTTTGACGTATTGAAGGTTGACCAGAGTGAGGAAATTATGAAGGAGTTAGGGTTACAGCATTTCCTATAGGATGTGCAGGAGGATGATGAAGAGACTTTGCATAGTAGTGATGTTGTGGAAAATATCCAAACTTTTGTTTCTGATCATAATTATTGTGTTGAAGAAAGAATTTGTACTGTTGATAATGATACATATCTTAATATTTCTTTTGTCAATGTCTGTGGTCTTGTTTCAAAATTAAATAACCCAGATTTTGTAGACTTTGTAAAAACATTTGATGTTTTTCATTTTGCTGAAACCAAATTAGATGACTTTGACCAACCTTGTTTAGATGGTTATGTCTACTTTGGTAAAAATCGTAAAAAATTTAAGAATAAATCTGGGGGAGTTGGGTTTTTTGTTACAAATGAACTGTCTGATAATATTCAGGTTTTAGAACTAAGTACAGAAAATTGTCTTTGGTATAAGTATAATGATTCAAATTTAATATTTTCTGTCATCTACATTCCTCCTGAAGGGTCAGTGTATTCTAATATTGAAATTTTTGACAAGATTGAAAATAATATTGTTGATATTATAACTATGTATGGGGAAGTCAGCTTTGTTTTGATGGGTGATTTTAATGCTAAAACAGGTACACTAAAAGATTACATTGAATTTGATAAATACATATTGGATACAAACTTTGATGGTATTACTAGACAACAGATGTCTATTGTTAACCTGTTAAATAATGGTATTACATTGGATAGATCTTCCAAAGATAGTAGTAATGTAAACAATTTTGGTAACCGTTTGATTGACTAATGCAAGTCCATAAATTTGTTGATAGCTAATGGTAGATGTGGTAGTGACCTTCATGTTGGTCGAACTACTTGTAAAAATACAAGTTTAGTTGATTATGTTTTACTTTCACCATGTGTTTTTCCAAATATTGTTGATTTTGAAATTTGCGATTTTGACCCCATTTTATCGGATATTCATAATAACATTTCTTTTTGTATTAAGTTTGATTCTATTTTAGGTTTAACACAAAATAGTTCATGTGTCACTGATATTCATGACAGTGGTGCTACTGTTAAAAAACCCATATGGGATAAAGCTGTGAATGATGTGTTTAAAAATAGTATTTTTTATTTAGACAGTGTTTCTGTTTTACAAGTAGAACTCTCAGAATTGTTGACAAGTAAAACTAATTGTGATAATACTATTAATAACTTTACTGAGAAAGTTTCTCAACTATTTTATAATGCTGCTGATAGCTGTCACTTGATTATTGATGTGAAAAATACTGTACAAAAGAGTACTAAAAGACGTAAGAAATCACGTCAGAAAGAGTGGTTTGATGATGATTGTAAAGTAGCAAGAAGAACATACTTGTCAGATAAGAATTATTATAGAAGAAATAAGACTGATACTAACTTCCAATCAATGGTGTCTAGTGGAAAATCTTATAAAAAGATGATAAACAAGAAAATTAAGTCTTATCAAGATAATATTAATAAAAGGATACTTGGGTTAAAGTCGTCAGACCCAAAAGCTTTTTGGAATTTGTTAAATAGATACTGCACGGACAGCAGGGATACTGTGAATAATATTTCGAAAGAAGTCTTTCTTGAACATTTTGTTAAATTAAATGAATCTGATCTAGATATTGACAATTTAGATGATTTAGATCTTGAGAATATAAGTTGTAATAATAGCTTCCTAAATGCAGAAATAACTATTGAGGAAATTAAAAAAGTTGTAAAAAAATTAAAAAATAATAAAAGTCCTTCTGTGTTTGATAATATATTAAATGAATATCTAAAAAATGTAAATAATGAATCTGTTTTAAATGTTATTTGTTTATTGTTTAATGTTATTTTGGATTCAGGTATTTTTCCTGATATTTGGAGTCAGGGTATTATTAATCCTATATAAAAAATAAGGGTGACAAATCTGACCCCAACAATTAAAGAGGGATTACCATTTTAAGTTGTTTTGGCAAATTATTTACCAACATACTAAATAAGAGACTGAATGAGTATTTGGAATGCCACAATTTACTTAACGAAGAACAAGCTGGGTTCAGGTCACAATATGGTACTACTGATCATATGTTTTCCTTAAAGATGTTAATTGATTATTATTTAAGTTGTAATAAAAAGCTTTACTGTGCATTTGTTGACTATAGGAAGGCATTTGATTCTGTTAATCGACTTCATTTATGGCACAAAATTTTGTCACATAATATTGATGGTAAGTGTCTTGGTATAATCCACAATATGTACAGTAAGGCTAAATCTTGTGTTAAAGTAAACTGTGAGTTGACTAGTTTCTTTAGTAGTTATACCGGTGTACGTCAAGGTGAAAATCTTTCACCAATTTTGTTTTCTATCTTTTTGAACGATTTGTCAGAATTTGTATCTAATAAATATACAGGACTTGTAAATATCTCTAACGCAACTCGGGAATGTCTTAGTGACGATGTCATTGATGTTTATGTTAAATTGTTTCTTCTGTTATATGCTGATGATACAGTGCTTTTAGCAGAAAGCAAAACTGATTTGCAAGATGCCTTAAATGCTATGAGTGAGTACTGTAATATGTGGAATCTTGTTGTAAATGAAGCTAAGACTAAAGTAGTGGTTTTTAGTAAGTCAAAACCTAAGGATGACTTTGATTTCATGTACAATGGTAAAAAGCTTGATTTGGTAGATAACTTTACTTACCTTGGAGTACTTTTTAATTATAATGGTAAGTTTTTGAAATCAAAGAAAATTCTTGTTGATAATGCTAGAAGAGCAATGTTTTCTGTGATCCAAAAGTCACGTAAATTGTGTTTACCAATTTCTTTGCAACTACATTTATTTAACTCTATGGTTGTACCTATTCTTCTTTATGGAAGTGAAGTTTGGGGATTCGAACAAGTTCAAATTCTAGAGAAATTTCAGTTGTATTTTTGTAAATTTATTTTGAATTTAAAAGCTTCTACACCTAATTGTATGGTTTTTGGTGAGTTAGGCATATTCCCATTAGCCTTACAAGTGAAAGCAAGAGTTTTGTGTTTCTGGAGTAAAATTATAAATGCTAAGGAAAATAAGATATGTAAACTTCTTTATAAAACAATGTTGTCTTTGTCCTCTAGGAATATTGTTAATTCTAAATGGATAAATTTTGTGAAAGAAACACTTAGTAATCTTGGCATGTCAGAATATTTTCATTTACAGAAGGTAGATAATATTAATCACTTTAAAAATGTTGTGAAGCTTAGACTACAAGATCAATTTTTACAAGATTGGCATAGTACTATTGACACATCCTCTAAGTGTTTAGTGTATCGTACATATAAAAATACTCATTGTTTTGAAAAATATCTAGATGTACTTCCTTTTGACATAGGCAAATATTTATGTAAATTTAGAACAATGAATCACCTATTACCAATCGAAAAAGGCAGACACTTGGCAATTGATCATAATAATAGGGTCTGTTCCTTATGTCCGTATCAAGCTATTTGTGATGAATTTCACTACTTATTTGAATGTTCGTACTTTAATGACATAAGACGTAAATCTCTTCATCCCAGGTTTTACACTCATCCCAATATTTTTAAACTTGACACATTAATGAATAGTTGTGATAAAAATATTCTTCTAAAATTATCTTTATTTTGTAAAAACATTATGTTAAAATTTAGATAAGTAATACTTCTCATTCTCCGTTCTCATTTGTTACAATATAAAATACATGTTGTATTGAATTCAGAACTTGAAATGAACAATATGATCTCCTTTTTGTTTATTAAGCTAGTCATATTTGTATTTTTATATTGTGATACTAGTGATTTTTGACTGTTATTTTTCTGTTTGTTTGTTGTTATAACCAGTTGCATATTATATGCCTTGGTTTAATAAAAACTGAAAACTGAACTGATTTTTTCTCAACACTCTAACCTATCATGTTGA